TATGTACTGAATAGATAAAAAAATGTCTGTGATTGAATAAATTTTCATTTTTTACACAAGAAACCGAAAATTTCATTTCAATCGAACCCATACTTCAAAAGATATAGGCATTTTAAACTAACTCTGATTTTGCGCGGGAAACCTAAATAATTGCCCGCGCCATCTTATATTTTGGCGGGAAATTCACCCGACACCGTAGTGTTAAATGTATTTGAGCCCTAACCTGGTGGCTCAGTTGGTTGGAGTGTCATCACATACACCAAATGGTTTTGGGTTCTATTTCCAGTCAGGGCACAGGTTTGATCCCCTGTTGGGACATGTAAGGAAAGCAACCAATTGATGTTTCTCTGTTTCTCACTCTCTCTGTTTCTCACTCTCTCTCTGTTTCTCACTCTCTCTCTCTCTCCCTCCCTTCTTCTCTCTAAAATCAATAAAAAACGTAACCTTTGGTGAATATTAAAAAAAAGGATTTGCTATATCTTTTTTAAAAAATATATATTTTATTGATTTTTTTACAGAGAGGAAGGAAGAGGGATAGAGAGTTAGAAACATCAATGAGAGAGAAACATCGATCAGCTGCCTCCTGCACACTCCCTACTGGGGATGTGCCCGCAACCAAGGTACTTGCCCTTGAGCGGAATCGAACCTGGGACCCTTGAGTCCGCAGGCCGACGCTCTATCCACTGAGCCAAACCAGTTATGGCAAGAATTTGCTATATCTTAAAGATTAAAAATTTTTGCTGGAACAAAGGTCTCTTCCACTAGTACCTTATTAAATCATCTACTTGCTGCAGCTTGGAAACAGCTAACTGACAAGGGCTAATTCTCCTCAGGATCATGGTATGTTGTGGCTTTTCTTCCAGTTTGCTTTTTTGGATACTTTTCAGAAGTCTGAGACTGTTTTCCTTATAGATACTAAGATATTTTCATGCCTTCCAGTGTGTCTCTCCACCTAGGAGCCCATTTTTTTACTTCCTGTCTTTGCTATAGCAACTGCTTGAATAGAATCCTGAATGAAAAAAAGGTGTACCTACTATCCTAGCTCACATTGCAAAAAGATAACATCTCATTGTGCGCACCACCTCCCCCATGGATCCGTTCTGCTATTTAAAAATTGGCAATCATACATCATTCATTTATTACTTTATTTGAAGATTTAGATGGAAATTATGTATTTTCCTCTCCAGGTTTCAGGGTTGTTTCTCTACAATCAATTACCTTGATCTATGCATTCTTTGAACTACTAATTTCTGCAGTGATTGAAATATACAGGGGTGGGCAAAAGTAGGCTTATAGTTATTCATTTGGAAAATAATACAATAATTAATAAATAATACAAGAATAAACTGTCTTAGATACTCACAACTGTAAGCTTACTTTTGCCCATCCCTGTGTCTAGCACTTCCAGTTTCCATTCCTGCTTGTCAGGGTGCTGAAAGTCACCCCTTCATCCTAACAATAAGGAAAAAGCTGATCAGACTGAAAAAACAGCAACTCTTCTTGTACACATGAGGGAAGACATAGGGCAAACTGGGGAGACAGCCAGATACAGGGGGTCCGGCTTCCCAGAGCAGAGGCTCATGAGAGAAACCATGAGTGTCCAGTGTACGGAAACCTGAACTGTGATTGACGAATCACTGGAGGCCCAGTGTGGACAATTCTGAGAGTTGGAAACAACAGAGGGACCCAGTCATAGAGGGACCTCCACAATTTTGTGAGATTTACCTCCATTATCTTGACCAGGTTCTAATAGTAAA